AAAACGCCCGTAACTAAGAAACAAATGCTAATTCGATGATGCCGGCTGGCACACTGATTCACTATGAATGTAGGCCGCACCCCCTAATGGCAGAAGCTCGTACTACATCCGGTTCGCCCTCTATTGACACAGTATTGAAACTTTCCGATCGCACCTCGTATATGCGAGCGTATTACCAGCGGCATTCGACAGGTAGTTACTGTAACTATGGTAACTAAGGGAATCTGGTGATTTCTTACGCAGCAAATTTTGCGCGGAATAAGGCATTCAAACATTGTAAAATTTTCACGATATTATTGTAACATTTTAACCAGAATTGGAATATATCAACAGATTCTGTTAAAGCTCATCAGCATTATATCTAATGAACATCTGTTCGGACGATCTCGAGCTGAAACACACGACAGACGAACGGGATTCCACGTGACGAAGAAAAAGGCTCCCAATTTGCATTAATCAGTTACGAACACGTGTGAATATGGAATTGAAAATGCGGGCATCACTTTCCATAGACATCCACGATTTCAGGGGCAATACTGACCTCCTTGAAAACTTTTGTGTCCAGACGTTCCAGTCTGACGCCCTTCAAAAGGTCCGCGATGTGGCCTTTCCTGTTGTCCGGGTCCTGGTTCATCCACCGGAGAATGCACTCCCACACAACTCTCTCGTCCTTCACGTTCAGTTCCTCGGCCTCGATTACCGCTTGCAGCTCATCTACAGGCAGTTCCAGCAGTTCTTCGCTCTGCTGAGACACTTCCACGAAGTTAAGCAGAACGAGGCTACGAGCGTAAGTGTCAAGGTCGACGCAGAAGTGTAACCTGCGACAGCGAGGGTAAGAGCCAACTCAGAATCGATCTCCTTCGGACTCTGACACATTGAAACACTGCAGCAATAACTGAATTCTCAAGTATTTGCACACCACAGTATTTCGCCTGAAGTTTATACCTTAACCATTTGGAGCCCAAATGAACGAGACTGAGAGCAGACACGTGGAGAGGCAACGATGAGAGACGCTTCGTTTAACCGGGGCAAAATAGAAAGTTTTCGGCTCTGAATGTTCCCAGGCAATGCCATCGTCCTCGTGAAAAGGTTACAATTTTAAACAAGGGCATGGCGTACGCAAGCGAAGAAGGCAGTAAGATGAGGAGTGTAGAATTTTTAATTCTGTTATTAACCTTGGCGAAACGACATTTTGTTAACTGTGTGTGTTAATCCAGTGAAACCTCGTGTAACCGGACTATGTGGGGGAACCACGGGTCGGATGAGCGAGGGAAAAGGGAACGTGGCCATGGCTATGAACAAATACCTAGAGATTCAATATAAATTTTCCTCGGCAGCAGATGATGCGGGCGTTTCGCTCGCACAAGCCGATGGTAAAAGTCACTCGTCAGCGCAGTTCGAAGGAGTCCCTGTATTAAAATAGTGAATTTATCTGTCATTCTGTCCATCGCATGAATTGGAGGTTCTGGTGTGATTCTGCCGATGTCAGTTGATTTGCTTGCTGTGTTGTCCTGAACAAGAAGGAGTAAGGGTTGAGCACCTACGGGAACCAGCGGGTTGTTTTTCGTCTTTGCCCGATAATAACCAGTTCTCTAAATGCCCTGAAGTGTTCATAATACTCAGCAGAATTTGGATGTGAGATTAGATCAATGAACTGTACCTCGTGGACATCGCTTTAACACATCTGGCCGGTGGAAACCAATCGCAACCGATCTGGTTGGAATTCGGTCGCTTAATGCGGGAATCAGATAATCGAGGCTCGGTCGACAGAAGTTTTGCTGTATGCAGAAATATGTGGGGCTGAATGTTGATTTTGGTATTTGGAGAATTATGTAAGAAGCAAGGAATTCCGCAGAGAAAGAAAGAAAGAAGAAAAGGAATTCGAGAGGAAGACAAATTTAATTGTGACCATGAAATAGGTCATGATTTACGTTCTACATGGTGAAATTAGTCATCTGCTCGTCGTAATAACGATCGAAATATATGTAGTTAAAACAGAACATTTAAATTACAGGCACATTAATTGCAAACTGCCAAACTTTATAATTTGCCGTCCTCAGTCAGAGGCTTTAATCTCCGGCCCGGCACTCGGCTGCTGTCTTGAGTAAAGCTGATTCGCTCCAGCGACGAAGGCTGGCGTCACAGCAAATGACAAATGAACATCAATTACCTTGCGAACTGCATGATGCTGATACAGTTGTCGACGTCCATCGCGTCCTTGAGGAAGTCGCAGCAGAGTTTAGGCACGTCCGGATTACACAAGTATTCAGCCACCACAAGCAGCTGACGAGCGTTGTCGGAGCGGATGTCCACCTCGCGAAAATAAACATAATCCAGTATCTGGGTCATCACATCTGAGCTGACCCCGTGGAGAAGAATCTCAGTCTCCTCACTGTGGTGCTGTGTTGTGAAGAGGTTCCTGAAACGTCACGAAGCATTCGTTAATTTAAACTGATTTCGAGAAAAGGCGAGCAGAAAATTACAAGACTAGCGCATAAAGTTTAAGTTTTATAACTCACGTAGCTAAATAAAAGTATCCTTCTGTCAATGTGGTGGATGAATTATTGTTATCTGAAAATTCGAAAACTCCCAGAACGTGTTCTAATGGGGCCAAATTAACTGCGAGGGGTTCAAGAGCTTGCGTAGGCTTAACTGAATATAACTTACAAATCGGATGCTGACAGAAAACCGTTTAGGTCAGTACCAGAAAATAACCTGTGAAGAAAACGGGTAAAATGGCAAGCAGTGAACATTTGTACTATAGAATATTCACCTCGTTTCTTACATACCCTCGAATCTTCCAAGAGATATCTGAGGTTATAACAACTACTACAGAAATTTTAAAGTCAACCAGCAAATTAACACAAATATTTCAACATAAATCGCAGGTTGTTCATTCCACTGATTGAACAGTTCGTAATAACTTACTACCTAAATAACTAGATGGCTTACTGAACCCGAATGTTCATCACCGAATTAACCAAAGCCCTCCATCGGACCCTGTCCTGGGCCAACAAAATCCAGTCTCCTTCAACTCCTATCTCCCATAGATCCCGCCTGAGATTATCCTCCCATCTACGTCTAGGTCTCCCCAGAGGTCTCTTCCCCTCAGGCTTCCCAAATAGTGGACCCAACCAACCAGATGGCTTACGGAACCCGAAGGTTCATCACCGAACTAACCAAAGCCCTCCACCGGACCCTGTCATGAGCCAACAAAATCCAGTCTCCTTCAACTCCTATCTCCCACAGATCCCGCCTGAGATTATCCTCCCATCTACGTCAAGGTCTCCCCAGCGGTCTATTCCCCTCAGGCTTCCCAAATAGTGGACCCAACCAACCAGATGGCTTACCGAACCCGAAGGTTCATCACCGAATTAACCAAAGCCCTCCACCGGACCCTGTCCTGAGCCAACAAAATCCAGTCTCCTTCAACTCCTATCTCCCATAGATCCCGCCTGAGATCATCCTCCCATCTACGTCTAGGTCTCCCCAGAGGTCTCTTCCCCTCAGGATTCCCAA